TGCGTAATCTTCACCGATGATGACGTAATCACTGACGCGCCGTCGTCGACCATGAGTCTCAGGGCTGGATCGGGTCATTTCCCATCAATCAGTTTTCTTATTTGTGAAAGCCAACTGGCGTTTCACCACACTGCTGCGTATTTTGCGTCAGCGATCGACTGCGCTATAATGCTCTGACTTCGTGATACCCACGAAATGACCCCCCCCCCGTGTCATGCAAAACGTAGTCCGTAATACTCTTCCTTGTATGTGGGTCATCATTACCCACGTCCGAGCCACAGATCCCATCGATGGCCAGTGTGCTGTCGAACCGTGCACTGGTCTCCATCGAGTCGACGACTCGTTGACTCTATACCAACCAGATACCTCAGAGCGCGTTTGGCTGCACCGATATGCTACTGTGTTGGAATCTGTACAAAGCGGCAAATTGGCCGACCACGTAAGCAAAATCTGACCTTCTACTGTTGGCCAGAAACAACAAAGAGCCTATGAGCTCACGATAGAACACTTTGTCTGTGTGGGGTATTGCTCAGACGACTCGCCGACAGCAAGGACAACACCGCGCTGACGACCGACACAAATTTGTTTAATGCGTACCTCTATTCCTAAAGATGTGGCCTAACGATGGATTCCAAAACCTTAGCCTAGAACAGTGTGTAAGACGCTAATTAGTGCCGTCACCATCGCGTTTCCGACTTCTGATATCGTGGGCTGCCTGTTTCACTGTAAGCAAGCCCTCCACCGGAAATTAATTAGGACTGAAGTGGATGACCATAGCCACGCTATGAGACCTTAGAGAGGCGCCATGACAACCGGAGCGCAGCGGAGGTCCGTCAGGGGACGGCGCGTAGGCCGAGTAGGTTCCGAAACAAGAACTTACAATCTAATCCGCGCGGGATCCTTGCCCGCCACGAGCGAAGCGAAGTTGGTGGTGCAAACGCCGCGCAGCTGTGGAGTGTAGCGACTACCTGTGAGACTCAATTCTTCCATGACCTTTTAAACGTGGTCTTTCGGGATTCGCAGGTCTATATTAATGGCCTAACGCTGACCTAAACGTGTGTAAAATCCACAATATGTATAGGCCAATTTATTAGGAATAGGACGATTTTAGGTACGCATTAATTTTCCCCCTCTCTACAGCCCATACAGAACTTTGTTGATCATTAAGATTATGCCTTTCCGTTTCACACGGGTAGCCGTCTAGATCTCCCAGCTACAGCTTTATAGTCAGCAATGCATTCAGGTGGGCGGTATTGTTAGGATACACATTGAGACAAGACGACCAAGGAGGTTGAAGATCAAGTTGGGACCCGCACATCGTGAGACCAAGAAGGATGAAGAAGCAGGGAGCTGCGAGCCTTTGCATATTAACGGGAAGTTGCCCGACTTTTTAGTTGCAGGGAAAGAGAAAGAGAGAACGAAAGTTAGCTAAACAAATTTAATCACTTTTCCTTTTCTCATTTGGTGTACACGCTAACTAGTGGAACCGATCCAAACTTTAACAGGTATTGACGTCACCCTGGTAGATCGTCAGCCCGATAGTACGCACACGTCCAAAAACATTTGAAAGGTAGCCATGCGATCAACATGAGAAATTGCATCCTTGTAGTTCATGCCTGGACATTGCTTGTCGCCTCTGCCCACGATGCGTGCTCGGAAGTCGATCACATACCAAGGTGGTCTGTCTTCAGGTCGACAACCCACATGATTTTCAGTAGCTTCTGCCCCCTTGACAATTGACGCTTTGGTATCATCTTCAGCACACCCTTGGTGCGAAGGGCAACAATCTGTCTGTCAATGATGCATTCTCGACCTCTGTGCCTCTCTCGGCGTGTGCATGGTAGCTTCACGTCACTCGCTTGAATACCACGAATTACACGTCGGTCAGTGTACAGTGCTTTAAAGGACGAGTTGACCTGATAGTCCTCGAAGTCTTCGAGATGTTAAAAGAACGCCAAAAGACGTCCCTTTTCATATTTTCCCATCAAACTGATGATCAAACGTTTTCAAAACAAGAAATCGTTTAATAATCCAAACCCTGCTGTGATAACGTCAATGTGTGCGTGATGGTATCGAAATCCGAAAAACCTATCTGCTGTACTACACATGTGAAGATGCGCCCACTCCGCCATAAAAAAACTGGGGCTACCCATTTGTTCTTTAACTTTTTTTAAAGAAGCTTTTCTGTTCTTGAGCTTAACTTCATCAGGGTTTTTGCCGGCATGGCGGGGCCACTTTTGTTTTTCGCCAGGAGAAGCAGTGTTCAGCGCTTTGACCTGCGCGTATACTGTCGATCTCTGGTTTAGTTGCACGGCAATACCTGAGCGCTTCTGATTGGTGGTAGGTGAATTGGGAGCACTACTCGTTTTATGTTGTATCACCAGTGGACACATTTTGCAACGGATTACTCATTTCTTGAAATTGCTAATAAAATGTAATCTAGCGGGCTAATGAAGCTATACGAGGTATCAAACAAAAGAGTAGACAAAGTGCTATCTAGCCATGCTACCCGCGTGTGATTCGGAAAGGCTAGACAAACATTGGTGTTTGATGAAGAATGTAGTGTAACGCTCCTAGTGCCATTACTAGCCGTTTGTGCCAAATGGACCTCACGTGGAACTCCATACAAAAATCAAGTGAAATCGCAGTAAACACCAGACAGTATACACAGTTAAAGTTAACATATCCTCTCTGACGGCAACATCAAAGTCGACCTATGGAGCATCAATAAGCTCTCTCCATCATTCTGGCGCAGATCGATACACGGTTTTGAAGCAACCGAGCGCTTATTGCTGTGCGCTTTGCCTGTTGAAGTTTAGCTACACATCCAGCGAGGCTTCTGTTACCAAAGGGAGACGGTGTATGATGTTATCTCCCTCGGATGACCTCATCCCTGCTGACTTCTTTCGATGTTTCAGTTCTGCTTTCGTCTTCGATGTCATTTATCCTGTTACTCGAGATCGTGTTTTGCTAGTTCCGTTAGCAACGTTCTCTGCCTTCTTCAGTGCTCAAGCCTGAGCATTGGTGGCTCTAGCTTTTGCACTGGCAGCCATCACGTCAGCCTTTCGCTGTCGCTCCGCTTCCACTGTAGCATCATCTTCAACCATCTCTGAGCTCGTCATGAGGATGCCACCACCCACGTACGTCCGCTTTCGTTTGGTATCTGGAGACTCAGCAGTCAGAAGTGCAAGCTGCTTGAGTCCTAAAAAAAAAGGCTGAGGAAACTGATTCAGCTGATAGGTGTTGGCGTTTCAGGCATCGGATCTGGCGCTCACATAACGATGACGTGTTGAACACAAACAACATTCTGAGCATGTCGTTCACAGCGGGTACCCTGCCAATGGTGCAACTGAACATCATGTCAAGTGACAGTGGAAATTTTTCAATTCTTCTAAATCTTTGGCCACGTAGTCTTCATTCACGGTGCCGTTCCACACATTCGGCTCCGGGTTTATTGTGGTTCCGTCGTTGCTACGCTTTTATGTACAAAAACTACCATCATGCGATCATCTCCACAAGTCTCCGTCAAGCCACTCCTCACAAAACTATCTAGCGCAGCAAGTTCGCACGTTATTGGTTGAGTACGACGAAATACCAAACGAAAAATGCTCAATTGTCGCTCGTAGTTGCTCTTTAACCCTGAAAATACCTTGCCATCTAATGGCTGAGTGGAATGACTTGTGTGTGCACAGGAAGTATAAACAGGTCGATTAAATGCCAGAGAGCATATCTTAATACAGCTCGGTTGATGTGCGAGGTGTCCATCGAGAGGAATTTCCACAATACAGTACATATGTACTGTATTGTCCTAAAATCAAAAACTAGTTTTCGTTGAACACTACGGAATATGGAAAATCACAAAGACAAATTTTTGTCACAACCATGCCAAATTCGTGGGTTTCTCTCGTGTTCCCTTCGTTTAAGGCGCAGTATTACAAGCCGATACAGCAATGCTGAACATTACTCAAGAATTACAGCAAATGATGACTTTGGTGATGACAGAGATGCTACCAATGCATAATCACACCATCTCCACGTTAACAGGGGCTGCCATCTCCAAATTTCTGTTAGGGAAAGGTTTTACGTTGGGCCGAAGCGCAATTTCACGAATGAAATTGGACATAGAGGATCGTCTTCGGGGTGACATTACCGAGTGCTACCCGAAACTGCAAGCCTACTTTGTACATGGAGAAAAAAAAACCGGGATCTGTGTGGAGACTCGATAAGGAAGACGACGGATCGACCTTCAAGCGTGCAATGTTCATTACCAACTTTGGTATTCATGTCGTGACGATGTGTAAGCAACTAATAGGTTTCGACGGCGCACATTTGAAAGGTGAAATGAACAAGAGAGATGTATTCCTCGTCGCCACGGTCAAAGATTTCAACAACCACGTCGTTCCATTCGCTTTGGGTTTGGTGACTACAGAAATTTACGAAAACTGGCATTGGTTCATGGGTATTGTGAAATTTGCCACAGGCCTGGAGAAATTTACTGTTCTATCGGACCGTCAGAAGGGCCTTTTAGCGGCTGTGGCAGAAGTATTTCCTCTGGCCGGACATAGGTGGTGTTTACGTCATATCATGGACAACATAAACCGAGCTGGCGCTAGCTCTCAACTGAGGAGAGGGGTCTTATATGCAAGATTGATCGTAGTGACTGTGAGAACGACTTCAAGTTATTTCGTAGCGAGTTGGCCGCCTCCAAACCAGCAGCTGTCAAATATCTGGACAAGTTAGACAAGACACACTGGGTGAAGTATGCGTTTCAAGAAGAATTTCATCTTCCGACTTACAACGAGATAACCTCTAATTTGTCGAAGCAAGCCAACAATTGGATGGGGACTGAACTTCGTAGCGCCAAGCCTCTTGATGCATTTCACACGTATTTCACTCGTCTAAGCGAGCTTGCAGCCGAAAAGAGTCATATTGCAGCAAATTGGCTCGACACTCAGGAGGAAACATCTCTCGTTCCTGTTCTTCAAAAGCTAATTAAAAACCGCACTACGGCTGCCTCTATTACGCCACTGATGGAGGGCGCCTACTCAGTTCAACATCTAGGACCCCAGAACCGCGCAGGATACATTCATACGTGGCGTCTAGTGAATCTTCGTGAGCTGGATTGCAGGTGTGGAAACTGGAAAGATGAATTATTTCCATGTATTCACTCAATCTGTGCAGCTACGAATGAGGGCCAAGGAATTGAGAGTTTGTACGGCAACAAAAGGATGTCAATCCTACACTTTCGAGAAACGTACACATTTTCACAGAAGGCATGGCCCTCAACTTTGACACTAAGGACGGATTCCTCGCTACAGGTGCCCCTATTTCAAAGTGACCCCTAGCGTGTAGTGAAGCGTGGCAAAAAACCTGGGTCGAGGCCGAGCCACAAGCGTAAACAAGCGCGGAATGCACTTTGACTCGAGTTTGATATTCCTCGATCGCTCAAGATTTATTAAAACAAATACATGTTTCAAATTTCTACATTAATATATAAAATTATACAAAAACATTCTTCAATAAAGGTGTGTTGTATGATGCATTTAATTGGACGTAGGAACTTTGACATTGAAAATTGATCCGATAGTTTTCTTAATCGATGTCTCACTGAAACAATCCAAGTCTTGTTCTTAATAAATAAGCGTTTTTGACGAACTAGTTAGATCTCTACCAGACAGGTCACTTCAAAAAATAAGGGTTTATGGAGATTTAGATTATTTCTTGCAAATCTTATCAAAGCGTTTCTGTTTTTTTTACTTTACAATGAAAAAAGCTTGCAAATCTTATTTGCAAAACCACCAGTATATTCTTATGAACCATAATTAAATTTCTGCTTCGACAATGCGAACAAATGATATCGAAGCGCCCTGTGTCAGTTTACGAAATGCTTCCCCCACACGAGAAACTTCGAGCGGAGGCTCATTTTATCGACTTAAAATAAACCAAAACATACCAGCACAACCACCGTCCACAGAGGAGCAGAGAACGTGTGAGGTCCCGATAGAAAGAGGCTCCGGCCTTTTTAATTGGCAGCAAGCTCGTCGCGGAAGAAGTGAACAAATGTAAAACGTTGAGCGTTTGTATGCCAAACGCTGGGTTCACAACAGTGAATTCTATCTCGTACAGTGGGTCGGGTATCGCGACCTTACATGGGAGTCTGCCAAGAACCTACCGTGGAAGCTGAAATTAGACTTCGAGCTTGAGACGATTAATTTCGTATGATTGTACCAAGCCACAAGAGGGAGGAGTAGAACTGCGCGGCCGACGCGTTTCAGCTCGCGAATTGCTAGCCAGAACATTTAATCCTGTGTTTATAGGTACGGATAACGAACTTAATTAAAATCAGATATATGTACTGCCCAGTACATTCATTTAGTTTTCGATTTTGGGGCAATACAGTACATATGTACTGTATTGTGGGAATTCCTCTGTCCATCGATGATTGACAAGGCTGGTCATGGAACATTTTTTCAAGTAAGTTGCTCGTCAAAGTGTCTCTTTCACTGCAAGAAAAGGAACCCGCTACAACACGAGGATCTGTGACTGCACAAACACAACCTTCAACAGCACTAATAATCCACTCCTGTACTCGTCGTTTCCGGCGAAGCTGAGCATGAAAAGTATATGACTTCCAGCAGTACTTACGCACACCATACAAGCCATGTTGTCGCAATCCTTTGAGCGTTTGCCATTATTTTCGTGCCTTTACGATCGATTACACGTGGTGGCTTCATTTCATGTGGGCAGAAGCCTGTTTCGTCAGAATTCCAGATCTGTGCCGGACAGGCGCCTTGCATTGCATCGTGAAGGTTGGAGTGGAAAGAGTGAATGCGATCCTCCGTCGACAGCTCATAGACCTTGATGTCGAGTACCCGAGATTTCTTTCGGGTCAACAAATCCCGATGGCGCGAGATGGAGATCTCTCCGATGTAAACAAGGCCGATACGGGGCTGCTTTTGCTCAGCGTGACCTGACGTGCGTCTGCCGTCCGTCATGCACATGCCACGATTGGCACTAAAAATAACTTCGATGATCTCTTCCTCGTCATCGCGTGAGAGTGTCGGCTTGCGTCGAGAATGGGCTTCAAATGCTACTTTCTTCGATGAAGACTAGTCTTCTAGACACACTGAAGGAAGCTGAAGCCTTGGAAAGAGATAATCTGCTCTCGTCAACAAACGAATGTCACCGGCGAATCCCTGAGCTTGGATCAATTGACTGCGTCAGGCAAGCATGTACTGACTGCTATATGCAATTCGTGGGTTTACTGTGAGTACAAGTTGTTTAATACTTGTAGTATGTTACGCTATTAAAGGTAACGGACACTGGAGCGTAAAGCTGCGTTTGATAAATGAAGTAAATGTAGGCGCCGAGAACCATACATCCTAAGAAATGCGCGTTTTTTTTTTCCTTAGTGGAGGTCGTTAGTAATACTCTAAAATGATCCATTGCAGTAACTTACCCTGTGCATTTCATCCAAAAACATAATTAATGTCCAATGCAATTATACTACCAATTGCTACAATATCATATAGATGGCTCGAACTCCAATAATCGTTTACTCCATCGATACACTGCTAGAATTATTTTATAAAAGCATCCCAAGCCCTGACTAGTACTACATAGTAATAAAAAAAACACAATGAAAGTGAGTTTAGGCTCAATTCTTTCATTTTTACAAGAAAGTAGTATTCTCAATTGATATCCTCGACCTACAGTTCTCTTCTTGCAGCTGCCTAGAAGATGGTTCAGGGCAAAGTGTTCATGTCCGTTAAGGGTCGTGCCGTCGGGCAGTAGCACATTCTCCAGGATAAAGTCGTTGTGACCGCCACTGCGGACCAATGTGTAGGTGGCCTCAAAGCTATCAGCATCTGCGAAAATGTTGATAAGCCATGACACGGTGATTTTGGGGTCATCCATGCACACCGCAAAACGCTCCAAACACTTTTTCTCGTGCACAACGCCGTCGTACTTCTTCACACGACATTGGTGGGGGCAGTTGGCGTTGTCACTGCTAGCAAGTAACTCGGGGTCATACTTGGGTTTCAGATTAATGGAGTCTCTGGCGCTGGCGGTAGCGACGACGGTGGCCACAACAGAGAGAAGACTCAGTAGCTTCATTCGTGCGCGCGCGAGAGAGAGAGAGTAAAGATAAGCGAGTGTGCTGGTGGCTGCAAAACGAAGAATGCCAAAGAGCTCCGTTGACGTGAGTATCCTCGCCGACCCAACTGTCTTTTTTTTAAATAGGGTACTGCATAATACCGTGTTGATGACGGGGGGCCTAAGACTTTCATCATCATCGTGGATGATGCGGTCACTCTGCTGTACCCTACACAACGTCCCCACGTGGATATTTTGCGGGGACGCAGGACTACGGACCAAACACTAGTATGACAACAGAAAAATGCACAACCGATGGGAGTCTTAATCAGGTCTTTCATAAGATTATGGAGCTGGAATTATTTGAACTCTTTTGAGTTCAAACTAGTTACGGCTTCGATGCTAATATACACCTTTGTATACAATTAGGATTGAACTACGGCAGCATCGTTGCGTGCGTCTAACTCTCTCATGCAATGTCCATACCCGATCAAAGTGATCCGGCCCAATACAGGGCTAGATTCAATATGATTCTTCTCTCTGTATTTTAGCTTTTGTAACGCAATGTAGTACATAAAATCATTCCGCGCTGAGCATTTGATGATTCGTGTTTCGACAGCTTAATGACTCTCCAATCCACTTTTTTTTTTTTTTTTTTTTGCTTTTTTCTCTAAAGACTTGTGCTTGCTTAGGGGGTTTAAGGACTTGATTTCTCGGTCAGTGATGTGAGCAGTTCTATTGGTCAATACCTTACTGTCACTGTCTGCTCGGCGTAGCACCGTGGTAAAATCACTGTGAACCATAAGCGTAATATACTCGTGTAGTGGCGGGCTCTCTTAAGAATCAATGAATTGACGTGGCAGTAAAAACAATCTTGTAGAATACTATGCTGTTTAATTTCATAGTTTGTTTCAATTGATTTAGTGTTACTGATAGTAATCAGTCAATCATAACGAATACACATCTCGGAATAAAACCCTCTCTTTACTGCCACCCCCTTGTAAGGTGGGAATTAAAGCCGTAAGTGCGATGTATTCCCAGATCTAGACACCGACGGAGGAATCAAGGCTTAACATTTTGTCTACCTCCACTCACCCAGGAGGTATTACCCCCTCCCCTACTTCCCCTTCTGAGTTTACTGGCGACTGTGACCGCGTCGTTGCTACCGCTCGAACCCCGCTAGTGGAGCCAAGTATGACCCCAGTGACAGAGCCGCTTGTCCGGAGAAATGCCCTCTAGATTTCCAGATTCTCATGGACAGTGAGGGTGTTGACTACCTGAACAAATGCTTACTGGTACTTCGACAGTGCACAAAAGAGTTTCTTCATTACAGGATGCAATGATGACCGTCAAGTAAAACCATGCCTTTTGCAGGTAAAAGAAAACAACTTACAACTCTGAATGGTTATGATCGTGTTTAGTACTTAAAAGTACCACTTGTTTATGTGCATGTTATGTTTTTGAGCTGCGCTTTATTAGAACTAAAAATATCTGGCCCTACTTCTAAAACCTGAACAGCGATACTGGTTTTCCAGAATACAAAAAATCACATACTGGATGCATTGAGGTGAGTAATGATTACGAGTTCTAGCTAAAAAAAAAAAAAAAAAACTATTTCTATGACTTACCATTTTCAATATTTAGTTAATCTTTTGTATTTGTTTATCGTGACCCGATCTAAATGTGCTTGCCATCCGAGAAGTCGTCAGAACGGACAATATGAAGTTAAAATACTCTTGAAGAAGGTGCTAACTCGACATTTTGAAAGCACTTCAAACACACTCTCCGATAGATCAGGCCTTGATAATGCTAACTGCAGCACCTAGCAATCATCAAGGACCCGCTGTTTTAGTGACGCGCACGAGCAACTCGTGTTTATATGCGTTCAGCTTCTACTCCATGTATTCTCATTTCAACCGACTTGTTCCGAGTACCACAGAGTGAAAACGTATGGGAGTTTTACATGAGTAATTATCTCATAAATTGAAAGGGTGTGCGACGGTGCAAACACCTAGTTATCCTTAATTGTAATCGTAGGAGAACATCATTGAGAGAAGAGTAGTAGTATCAACCATTGGCATAAGAGCATTAAGGTCCCTAAACGAATTTGTAAATTTATTGAACGACCTCGATTATCAGATTCGTAGGGAGTATGAGTGTGTCCCAATGGATGCCGTGCCCATTTCGGCCCCGACATTTAGATGATCCCTAACGCATCCTTTAAAGTTGAAAACATCCCAGCAGTAAACAGGCCGGTACCACCCAGAATTAGGATAACTTTCGCCCATTTAGGTAACCACGGTAGCAAACGCTTACTCTTTGGCACCAGTGCCGGAGCGCCATTCAAGCGATTTGCAGAACTTGTAAATGCAGATCGAGGTGGTACGATTCTCTCTTCATTTGCTTTTTCATGCATTCCTCGGAGACGACGCGTTTTGATGTTGGATTCGATATGCTTGGCGTCAGACGCTTGAACAACGTGACTCAGGTCCGTTTTTTCGGCGTCCGTATAGACCATCAAGCTGAAAAGGGAAATGACAAGGAGTACGAACAGACCGAAGCTAAGCCGCATCCTTTGAGCTTGAGGTGTGTGTGGGGGGGGGGGGGGACTTGATATGTAGGAGTAAAATTCGTGAATGGCCAGCTCTCAGAATCTGTCTGCTAATAAGAGGTTATAGATAGCTTTAGGCAATAACACCTCAAAAACAAGACATTGCTCTCTATTATCTTGTTGTTCCGACACTAAACGGGTATGACCGACGATAAGAGAGCCGTACAGTTCGATGCGTATATACATGTACCTGTAGTACGCTTAATAGCAGAGGATTATGCAGTGCTGTTGTTGACGCGGCAGGTCACTGGTAGGAGAAAAAAGGTACTATGCATCTTATACAGTGCTCCACTCGTTAGCCGTCATGGGTCCTACTTCAATATTATAGAGGCGCACTGAAAGGAGCAGTGTCACAGACGCACCAGACCTTATCGAATATAAAGGGTATGAGGTAGTGGGTGCGGCTAACGAGGGAGAGCTCTGTACTTCATTATGTTTAAATTGACCAGTCTGTATACATTAAAACAGATGAATCTGTATTAGGTGATCTCGTATATTGTGATATCCTGTCGTAGTTGAAAAGATTTGATTCCACCGAACACAAGCCCATTGATAATACTGTCTAACTTGAAACCTGATACAATGTGATAATAGACAAAACCAGTCAAACGCTTTCAAAATCGACGGGGTTACCTACTCCTAGTAGTTGTCAGTGATACAAATCGACATAAAATCATATGCTCGTCCATTTTAAGCCGATTTCATCGGAAATCTGGGTCACAACAGACACCTTGGAAGTCTGGTGTATCATCAGATATATCCATAAATTTCAAGATTTGAAATATTTCGTTCGAATCCCACCAAACTTCAGGAATGTGCACCATATTAACCGCTTTACGATGGTCAACTTGCTATACTTGATCAATAGTTATTCCACGGCCTGTATTAGTTAAGGGAGGTTATCCTGTATTTCGAAGTATTGATTTACCTGGAAGAGCAATGAGCGAAGGAGCCCATAAACTGCACCATCCTTCTTGAGTCATTGCCCTTCCTTGAGCCATTACAATTTAGTGCGGTGTTTACCCATTTGTGAATATGGTGTATTCTCTTAGATCGAGTAATAGAGTATTTTGCACAGAAGGTAGCGCAGTGTTTACCTATTTGTGAATATGGTGTATTCTCTTTGGTCGAGTAAACTTATATTCTATACGTGGGACGACAGCTCTAGCTGGCTGAATACCTACTTATTTCATGGGTGGCTTCGGGGCCCAGGGCTTCATGTAATTTGCGCTATTGTTATTCCAGGTCTAATCCGACGATTTGGTCAGTGTCTGTAGCAACTTAACTCCAGCAGCAATCGAGCCAGCTACGATACCAATACTGGCCACAGCTACGAGAGCCAAAGCCCATATTGGAAGCGGCTTGTGGTTTGTAAAAACTGTGTCGAACTTGCGATGCAGTCGTCAAAGTTGTCGGAGACGTTGAGAGATCTGAATCTGAACGACGGAGCAGAGCATAATACGCGGCAACGGGCGGTGTCATCCTCTCTTGGGCTCTCAAGTTTCTCCAGGAACGACCAACCCCTGTATCAGAGTTGAAACGGTCGTTATTTGGCGTAGGAGCATTGTTGACAGCGTCGTCTTCCGCGCTGGTGAAGGCGATAGCGCTCGCAAGGGAGAAGGCCACGAACAAGCTAAGTGATGTGCGAATGCGCATATTCGTCGTGCTTTGAGTGAACTTCCTCAGTATGATCGCCTATAGATTGGTTGCACAGGTGTCGCGATTGTCGCCTAGAATATACAGGTTATAAATCGTAATCCTCGCTTCGCGATTATCGTCTAAAACTTACCGGTTATAAATCGTAATCCTCGTACGTAGGCGGTTAATGTGACTGACGATGGTAAAGGACTACCAATATTTATCCTGCTGTGTTACGACCACCGCCCAGCTAAGAACAGAAGAATAACACTTTGGTTAACTAGCATGCTGTACCTGTCGTAATGTAGAATCGGAATACAAATGGAGAGCCGATCGGTTAAGCTCGCACTAGCACACACATATTTTAGCAAAGAGATGACGTAATTATCTGCAATTTATTTTAGGTATCTCTGCAAACTGCGTTTCCGATCAAACTAGATGGAGCTCAAAAATCTGGAAACAAATTAGGGTGCTTCACTTTAGACGGAGAGGACTGTGGAAACGGAATGGGAGTATTTTGTTAGCTAAGATTGCCTTAACAGCATTAGTGCGTGCAAATAATTCTTCGCGTACATTGTTCTGTTTTCAAAGAAGTAAGCCATTAAAAAATCAACACTACTTTGCCTTTTTAGTCGTCTGTCCAGCTCATCTAGGCTCCCTCGTATTATTGATACGCTTAAATGGCGATTTTATCGTAAATAAGCCATTTTATCAGGGAATATATATGGAATTTATATAATTGTTGCCTTTGAATTCGCTTTCCGAAATTTGGCTGCAGACACGAAGGAGCCTGACGCTAAGCCATTGTAGCAGCAGCTTCAAGACCATGGTCGTCGACGTGGTAAGGCTCAGAACGCTCCACGTTACGTTGACGATGAGCTGTGTGAACTCATTCGCGACATCCAAATGACCAATTAGAGAAGCCAACACCGCTGGAATACCATTGACAGCCCTTAACGGTTTAATTTCACGACACAGCGTAACTCGCTCGATGTTATCTCGCTCAACAGTCAGCTGACATCAAAAAGGAAGCTGAACGTTGAGCAAAACTGGCATCGTTTAAAGCATATTTTGGGATCGGATTGTCCGTATCCGATTGTTAATAAGAGCTAACGACCAACGGCCTTTGATCGCGAACTCTCGCAGGACACATTTTCTCTTTGTAGGCGTCTGCAGTTTAATCAGCTTGGACTGGCGAGAGCATAACATCTGCCGTGAATATGTTCGGGATCACAAACATATAGAAGTAGCGCCATTGCTATGTCTCTACTAATAGTTCGTGTGTAGAATTGGTAACGAATCATCACCGAATTATATAAGCCAGCCCGGAAGGCAATCTTACCATTAATATTATCATTTTAAGCGGATGTACCTAGTGAAACTAGCAGGTAGAAAAACATTTTGTGGAATCTGTTCATCAATGTATATTTACTGTCAGTTTGACCCAATTATACCCTTACAGATGTATCACACATCAAGCTAATGAAGCATACGAACTTGACATGCTTCATTTGCTTTTTTGAGACGCAAGCATTGACAGTCGTAGAACAATACAAGGCTAACTAAAAGCGTAGTGTGACGGGGTCACACAGCACCTTGTGCAGAGGAAGTGGAAGTTTATTTCCTCTAGAGTATACAAACTCTAAGTGAACGACCGTTC